GATATGTCGGCGGCACTTGCCGTCCAACTTGCCGAAAAGGGAGTCTCGAAGGGAGACAAGATTCCACTGTGTTTCGAGAAATCTGTCTGGACTGTCGTTGCAATGCTTGGGGTCTTGAAAGCCGGAGCTTCTTTCGTGCCCTTAGACCCGAGCCAGCCCGTATCACGTCTAAGAAAGGTTGTTACGCAAGTCAAAGCCAAAACGGTTCTTACGTCTGCATTCCAACAGAAGGCAACTGATCTTGGTGCTGTTGCGTCCGTGATCGTCAATCGCGATGCTCTTGGCGAGATATCCAGGCTTCAGCATCCGCGGCAAGCACCAGCTCAAGTGACACCCAACAGTCCTGCCTACATCATCTTCACTTCTGGTTCGACAGGAGATCCCAAGGGCATCGTCGTCTCTCATGCTGCGTTTGACTCCAGCGCGATGGCCCATGGTTCCGTCTTCGGTATGAGCGACGAGCATCGTGTCTTGCAGTTCTCTGCATACAGTTTTGACGCCAGCCTTTTTGAGATTCTCACCACCCTCATCTATGGCGGAACCGTCTGTGTCGCCACTGAGAAAGAGCGCTTCGAGAATCTCGGAGACTTTGCAAGCCGCATGCGCGTCAACCTCGCGCTTCTGACTCCATCGGTGGCTCGCATCATTCGTCCAACAGAGATGCCGTCTTTGAAGACTCTGGTTCTGGGCGGAGAGGCTCCTGATGAGGACTTGATCAAGAAATGGCTTGACGCCGGACTGACTCTCTTCAACGCATACGGCCCAAGTGAATGCTCCGTCATAGCTGCTTGCCATGCATGCACCTACGATACGGACCCGAAATCCATCGGAAACCCGGTCGGCTGCTCTGCGTGGGTTGTTGCCGCAGATGATGACACGGTGTTGGTTCCAAGTGAACAGGTTGGCGAGTTGCTCATAGGTGGTCCGACTCTAGCCGATGGTTACTTGAATGACTGTGAGAAAACAGCTGTAACGTTTCTCTCGCGACTACCATGGATATCTAGAGAGGATCGCATGAGCACAAATAGATTGTACAAGACCGGGGATCTTGTGAGGAGAGCCGTCGACGGAACTCTGGTGTACGTGGGGCGAAAGGACCTCCAAGTCAAGTTGAATGGCCAGCGAATCGAACTCGGAGATATTGAGTCGCACATCGCTGGTTGCTGTTCCGTCAAGCGCGGTATTGTTGTCTTTCCCTCGTCGGGACCATTCTCAGAACAACTTGTGGCGGTTCTGGAGCTCGAAGAAGAAGATGGCGAGAGACGGCCTGGTCTCCAACATATCATGACTCGATTTAATATCATTGCAGAGGAAGTTCGTCAAGAGTTGACCGGAAAGCTTCCGAGCATCATGCTCCCGGCACACTTCATTGACGTCGCAACCCTCTCCGAGGAAAGATTTCCACTTTCGACCTCAGGCAAGGTTGACAGGAATAAAGTCACAACATGGGTCCGAAATCTGTCCGTCAGAGAATCTCAGATCCTCGACGTTTCTGCGCCGATACCAAGTACAGTGGCAACCATTCAACCTCACGAGCTCCCTGCCTACGAGCTGGCACAAAAGGTCACAGATTTGGTGTCTCGAAAGACCCTTTCGTCAAGGCCCCGACTAGACGATTTTGACGATGTGCTGTTACAGACTTCCGGTCTAGATTCTCTCAACATGATGTCGCTCATGCACTTCATTCGTCTGAAGTACAGTGTCAGAGTCAGCATGCAGCTGCTCATGGACGAGCAAATGAGCATCAGGAAGCTGGCAGCTTTCATCACCTGTGCTGCTTCCAACGGCCTAGTAACGTTGACATCTTCGAACAGCAACTCTGAGACTCGGCGGATCGATTTGATGAGTGAAATTGATCGTCTTGACGCGGGGCTTCAGGAACTTCCAGGCGTGTTGTCAAGAGATGTCCAAGGTAGTTTGACCAAGAAGACAGATAATCTCAGGGTTTTCCTTACTGGGGCAAGCGGATACCTGGGTACTCAAATACTGCGAAAACTTCTGGAGCGGCGCGATGTTGCCCGTGTCACCACTTTGGTACGCGGAGCGACACTCCAAGCAGCGAAAGATCGCGTGGTTGAGGCTGCGCAAAAGGCTCTTTGGTGGACCGAGTTCCACGAAGACAAGCTGGACGTCTGGACGGGGGATCTCACGAAGACTATGCTCGGCCTTGGCCAGAAACGATGGGACTTGCTAAGCGATGGACACACATTCGATATCATCATTCACAACGGTGCGATTGTCCATTGGAACAAAAGTTATGCTGCCTTGGAGGCGGTTAACATCCATTCAACAGTTCAGCTCCTGGGCATTGCTGTTCAGAATCCTGCTTTGCGATTTGCTTTCGTGTCTGGTGGACGACAGTGGAAGAGTGCTGAAGAACGGGACGAGGACATCGCGCGAGAGCTATCGGACTCTATGGGTTATAGCCAGACAAAATTCGTTGCTGAGGTCCTCGTCAAGAGAGCTGCGGAACGATGTCCAGTCTCACAGCGGAATATCGGCGTCTTCAGGCCTGGGCTTATCATTGGGACGCCCGCAGAAGGTGTAGCAAATTTGGACGACTACATCTGGAGGCTCACGGCTGCAAACATTGAGATGGGCATCTATAATGCGGACGAGGAGCAGGCATGGCTGCATCTCTCCGATGCTGCTACAACTTCGGAAGCTGCCATTCGCATCGCATTCAATCCAGAATCATCTGCTAGTCCGGTGACACAGCATGAAGAAGGAATGACTTGGGGGACGTTCTGGACTTTGATCAAAGGCATGGGCTACGACATCCGTCCAACACGTGCTGCCAAATGGCTGTCAACAGTCAGAAACGATATCTCGAATCGGAAAGAGGAGCATCCCCTTTGGCCGCTGGCTCACTTGCTCGAAGATGGTAGCATGGAATGGGAAGAGGTGACCGAAAGCCACGACATGTGTCCGTTGCAGCTCAAAGTGGCTTCGAAGAAGAACGTGGAAGCTCTTGTGAGGGTGGGTTTCCTGCCGGCCACGCGTCGAGCCCAGGATGTTCAAGTTGTCGGGGGCACGTTTTCTAGGACGTGAGTGAGCCGGATGCCTTGTTTGTAATTATGGAGTTACGGAATCGGACTCGTTTAGAATAGAGATGCCTAGAGCAATATGCAAGTTGTCAGCGCGAGGTATCGTGGTTGCAGCATGAGTCGGCGGCTTATTGTTCCATGTCTATCGAGTCTTACTTGAATTGTATCTTGGCGCGTAATGTAGCTACTGAGATGAGACCCCTGTGCCCGTTGTGGTGACGTAGGTAGTGCACTATCACTAGGCGAGATGTTTAGCTTGTCATTCACGCCCTTGTACAATCAATGGCAGCCTAAAAGTACTGACAAAATTGAAAAGTCGTTCATCTAATCTATATCCCTCAGTCTCCAGAAACATATAACTTGGTTCATCTCAAGATCATAAACTTTTCGAGGATCACGACCTTTTCTATACGACAATGGACGACTCAGTCACTATCAAGGCACAGTGCATGTGTAAAGCACACACATTCTCCGCTTCACTGCCGAAATCCGCACTGCCGCTCAACGCGTCTTGCTGCCACTGTACGTCGTGTCGCCGACTGACTGGATCTCTCTACAATCCTGCCGTTGCGTGGCCAGACGCCTCTGTAGACCTATCTGGCCTGCGGAAATATCCGTTCTCGAAACACTTTGATGTTTATTCGTGCGGTACTTGCTCGTCACAGCTCTTTGCCCGTGGTCACAATCCTAGCATCGCTCCTTATGTTACAACCGGCGCTTTAGAGAACATCCCTGGTCTTGTCAAGTATGACAATCACATGTTCATCGGCGACACCATCGATGGCGGCCTTGCGCCATGGCTTCCGAAAGAAGAGGATGGAGACCCGGTCAAGCGCTGGAAAGGGCATCGCAACAGCGAAGAGGTTCCATTCGACTGGCCGGTCAGCAAATCAATCCCTACCGCTCGGCTGAATGCTAGCCCTTTTCCAACGTCGACCCTGTTCCACTGCCACTGCAAGGGCGTCCGGCTATCGCTGCGAAGCGCGGCGGACTTGGAAGCAGATCCGGCGAAGGAATCGACCTCGACATGTGTGGATCCCAAGACGCTCAAGTTCAAGGCATGTTCCGATTCGTGCAACTCTTGCCGCCAACACTTCGGCTCCGATATCATCGCGTGGACCTTTGCTCCTCTCACACACATCAACTTCAGCACTGAGGCCGCATCCGCGCCGTCTCAATTCCCACAGACGATCGTTAAACTCAAAGAAGCAGTTCTATCCAAGACCAAAGACCCACGCCTCGGAACATTGGCGGTTTACAATAGCTCTCCCGAGGTAGAGCGGTACTCCTGTTCAGTGTGTTCAGCCAGCATATTCTACGCCGTTTACGACCGTGAAGACATGGTTGACATCGCAGTTGGGCTGTTGGATCACCCGGATGGCGCACGCGCTGAAGGATTGTTGGCTTGGAATTATGGCCTGCTTGGGTGGACAGCGGATGCGGCAGGCGGATGGCGAGAAAAAATGGTTGCGAGAACGAAGGCCTCCATGAAGGAGTGGGCCAACTCCTTGAACGGAAATCAGAGCACCAACGACTAAGCAGAAGGTCAGAAGCATCTGAAGGAATCTCGAAGTCCTTGATGGCTGGACAAAGAGGAGGCTGATCGAGGCTGGGCGACAACCTGGAGAAAAATTGTAGGGCGCGGCGCAAGGCTTCAGAGACGACACTGCAGAGGAAAAGATCATTCAATCATCAGCGTCGATGGTTTAGTGGTAAAATTCTCCGTTGCCATCAAGCAGCGTCGGGGAGCCGGGGGTTCGATTCCCCCTCGACGCAATCTTTTGGTTTTGATGGTGGAAAACGATGTGCGAAGAGCTATGGTGGTCGGCGACGTGATCAATTTGCATCTTTACGCTTGTTTGATTGAGGTGGGTGGCTCTTTAGGTACAGTTGTATTTCATGCCTCGATAACCCTTTCTTTTTGTTTCCTATCAATATCTTCCTACCATGTTATTACCATAAGCGAAAGACAGAAAGCTCTCTATTTGTGATTGTATAATCACTCGGCACCGCCATCGTTGACAGAAATAGATTTCCAAGACCCTCCGTAGCAAGTAGAGAGTTGTATATGATTCCGATGGGCGATGCAGCCAGCATTACTGAGGTACCGTTGCCAACAGATAGGAGCTTCGGTGCCAGCCTCATGAGCCTTAAGCCCTCCATGGACGGCTGCCACCTATATTTGACTTCATTCGGTGTGTAAAGAGGATCTTCCGCTGGCTTGAGCACGGCTTTGTCGATATCTTCAGGGAATGGCATTGGATGCCGCGTTCCCGTGTCCAACAAAACCTGCAAATTCATAAGCTGCGTGATTGAAGCATTATAGATGATGAGCTCGGCAGCCTGTTCCGGCGTCTTCACCTCGATTGGCCTAGACGCCAACGTCTTGGCCCAAGGCAACGAAATGTCTTCCATCTCTTCGTCAAGAGGCATATCAGCTTCTCTTGCAGCATCTGGATTGTCACACTTCCAGCGCCATCTCCAGTCACGTAGATCCCTGAGAAGCTGATCAATCTTGTCACGGGCGGCCTCTATCTCGTTGTTGAATAACGGTCGATTGCGTGATGTGATAGAAAGAGTGAGACCGGGAATATCGACAAAATGGTCCATCAGCAGGTCGTGTGAGGTCTTGGGTATGTATCGCCATGGGATAGTTTTCCACGTCGTTTTTTCAAAAAAAGAGTGATCACGTTCATTGAAGGAGTTGCACGCCTGACGCCACAGCCAATTCTATCAGTACATGTAGAGACCACAAGTATTCAGGAAGTCAAAGAACAAAGCCCGGAATTCTCTTACATGAAGTGCCCGAATTTGGCGTAGATAGGTCAACATTGGCTCTTGCTGAAAGCACTCTGGCCCACACATTTCTATGATCTTCGACATGCCGTAATAGTGAGGAACGTTGGGCACGTTCTCTACCGCATACTGTATTTGTTAGAATAGGGAGTGACAATAGGCGCGTGCTCTTGACCGAAGTTCCTTTTCAAAGACTTACTTGGTAAAGACTAAGGATAATGATTGTGAAGGCCCACCTCGCCAACTCCTGATTGGACTTCGCTGACACAGCGTGATGCAACGCTCTGATTACCTTGCCATTCAACTCGTAGCCCTCGGCCACCATGCTCGGCTCGTTGACAGAATTTCCCATGAAGCCGAGCGCAGTCGCTAGGCTTCCCGTATAATCGGCTCTGGCCACATCTGAATCCAATTCTCCGTCTAATGACATTCGAAAGAGAGGTTTCCAAAACGGAGCCCAGCGGTAGTGAGCTACAAGATGGGAAAATGCCATGCGGTTACGAAAAGCTGTGAACGGGAGCTCTGGGACGATGTTCTGGTGAATAACAGTGCTCGAGCTCGTGTTTGAGACTCTGACTAGTTGTTGACTACCACCAGCATCGCCAGTGGCGGCAAAGTTTTGCATGCGGAGCGGCAACTCGTAGCCCAGGCATTTGTGGCCGGATTTGAGACATCTCTCACATGCAGGTCGAGCTTTGTCTAAGTGTTTTCAAGTGCGTGTAAGTGACATGACCGTTTATGAGCTGGACAGGCTAGAATTGTAACAGAAAGAGCACGATGGACATACCACACTTGACCCGTCTTCGTCGACAGGTATGACAGTAGCCGCTAGTTGGCGGACGTCCCATGGTGAAACGTATTTCTGGATAAAGTGTTTTAAGTCAAGTGAGAATGTTTACGATGGCTATATTAACTATGAGCCCACCGAAAAGCTTGCGAAGAAGATTCAGGAGATGTGTCGTCGTAGAAAAGCGAGACGGACTTAGCATAATAAATTGCTTCTGAATCAACAATGAAAGAGAGACCCCCAGTCTTGGATGTTGTCGAACAGACCTATTCATATTGTCCCAATATCCAAGTATCAGAATACCCACCTCTGTCTTCAGTGCCGGACATCACGGAGACGTGGGGCGAAAGAGATCGAGTAAGCAGAGCAGGCGGCAGAATCCACTTGGTCGCGCGCGCGCTGCAAGTAGCAAGGCAGTTTTAGACTATTTAGTCATCCTAGACAACGTAAGGTAAGCCGCACTCTAATTCTCTTCAGTTCTGATGCATCACTTGGCAGCAGCCAGTGGGGGCTTCGGACTGTCTGCTCATTGGCCAGGCTCATGCTGACTGCAGCTTCATTTGGTTATTCGTTTTCTAGTCCAATCACGAAGACGTATTTGAACATGCACGCAAAGATCGCCACAGGTACTTTTTAAGATAATCACGAGATTGTATGCCGAAAAGAGGCGCTGGTCTCATCGGTGCCTCCAGTCACTTCCTTGCCTTCATCAGTAATGACAGCATCGTTGCGATGGATCACAGGTTAACATCAGCCCGTATTTGATTATTTACCTATTTCGTGTTGGCATTCTTTTGTTAGCATGTTACATTGAGGTAGTCGGCGATCTTGGAGGTTGGTCGATGATCCACCGGAACTTATGATGAAGGGCTTATTGTGCATTCGATAAGCATTTGGTCTAAACGATCTACACCTTTGATCATATACATTTACCAAAAATATTAGTCTATTCTGTTTTGGAAGGTTCCGGGTTCGTACCCTGGTGAAACGATGAGGGAACACTCCCTAGATCTTTAAGTAGCTATATTTCCCGCAAGTCCTGAATAGCTGAGGTAGCAGGAATTAAAGGAACAAATACAAATAAGTGTATCTCAGATATTGATGCTGGATCTCTGATAATTCCTTGGTGGCCTTCTGACTCACTCACGGGTGGCTTGGTTCTCCACGATGAACACACATGCGACCTGATTCGGATGTGGCTACGAAGCAACTTGCACTGCTACGGCACACACATCCAGGAAATGTTAGCCAACATTTGCCTCCAAACAATACTCTGAAAGTATGATTGTGTATTTGCATACATCCTTCTCAACGAACACTCCGAGCAGCGGTTTGATCATAGTCATAATCTTTCATGTGCCGCAAAGGCGAAGAACTAGCCGGGGGTACTCAAGTCCAATGAGGAAAGGCTGCATTTAAGCACGGTTGCGTGAATGTGGAAGCATTGGTCTAGAAAGGGTCTCTCAGCTTAGACGTAGAGCCAGTCAAGTCTAGTACTAACATCATTAATTCACGTGTTCCATTTCTTGGGCGCAAATAATGTTCACAGCTAAAGTCGATGAGATAGAGGCTCTGTGAAAATACCTTACTTCATTGAGTAGCTTCTGGCAATCAGGCAGAATGTCAAGAGTAATACGTCCATATTTCCGTTAACAGGGTTGGCGCAAGCCTGCGAGATCATCCATTCGGGCTAACGCTTGCTTCTTGTAAGCCTACCGGCAGGTCCTCAATGATGTAGAAGTCATTGTATGGCTGGTCTACTTGACATATAGCGAGCACTAAGTACTAGGATACCCGAGAACTACGAGTTAGTAAACTCAACATTTGATGCTGAGCAAAGAGATCTCTACTACTCGCAACTAAAAGGTAAGTCCTGCAAGTGAAGAACTGCAGTTTCGTCTAAAATTTAAATTGTTAAGGCGCTGTACGGATACCATTGCAGAAGCACTCGCGTTTGTTCCTCTCTCAAGCTTCACCAAGTCGGATGTCACCGGCAAACTACTATCTGCTATCAACAGTGGCACCGCTCAGTACCTCACACAGAATACTGACCAAGCCGTTGAAGACGGATACTCGAAACACGTCCAGCAAATTCTGCAAATGCACCAACGTAATTCCACGGCCGATATGGAGCTTCTTTATGGGGACGGTGGACGCTCAGCAGTGAATATCTTGATGCACCCCTCAAGCCGTTAGGCTATTGGAATCAACCTCATCGACCCCTTCGCGCCCCCAGTCATTGAACCTCGCTGTCTCTCCTACTCTTACGACGGGCAAATGGAGGTTGAGTCACTACGGTCAACCGAAACTCCTGGCCACGCAGCAAGTCCAAGCTCTTGGAGCAACGGAAACGCTGCCTTGGGTCATTGCCCTGAGCGACTCTGACATTTTGGAATTCGTTGAAGGAGTCAGCGCTACAGAGTATCACTATACTGGGACCTGCGCTATGCTTCCCAGGCCACTTGGTGGTGTCGTGGATTCCAACCTTAATGTGCATGGGATCGATGGCTCGAGGGTAGTCGATGCTAGTATCATGCCTTTACTTCCATCGGCGCATAACCAGGCGACGGTCTATGCAATCGCTGAAAAGGTAAAATTGCGCCCCTACGCATGAGATGGCTCGAATGTGAGCGAGACTAGTGCAGTGACTTTAGTGCTGACTGACTTCTCTTACACAGGCAGCGGATGCTATTTTACAGCAATAATCTTTATGAGCGTGGCGAAAGATGAATTACTTGAAGACGAAGGAATAGACGAGGGGAGTTTGGACAACTTTCTTGTCGAGATATTCATTGGCTGAAAGCTCCTCTACTCACTCAAATTCCCTGGGTTCGGCGGCGCAGAGAGTTTGTTTTACTTCTGTGACTGGTGCAACCTGCTGTTACATTTGCAATGACTTGTCAACCCTGCCTATCGCTAGAAACGTCGTATTTCAGGAGGTGCTCGCCCACTTTCACCTAGGAAATCTGATAGGTAAATTATACTCGAGTGCCTCGAATTCTCGCCATGATCATTTCTCAGAAAATGATTACAGGCACAGCCGTTCATGGCCCGTGAGAGTTACGGACAGAGGGACGGCAGACAGGGGAGGGATGGGAAATGGAAAATCATGTGTGCACCAGAGGGCTGGGCCGGAATAGCGGTGCCGTCTTCTGCATGTCAGCATGTCCCGCCGCAAGGGTGTGCTACTCGAACCAATGATGACCACTACCGATTCTTGCGAACAGGGGACTGAGGCCCCTCATCGACCGTCTTAACCAACCAGCTGGGACGATGACTTCAGCCAGCTGGCCGTTGTGTCTAGTGCTTACTCCGGGGCTGAGTTGCTGGAACAAGTCTTCCAGACCTGCTGTTCCAATGTTGGGCATTCAATGTCCTGGTATTGGAGAATGGCTCCCGCTTTCTTTTTGTTTTCCTTTCGAGGTGTAACTCAAAAATTGGGATGAAGCGATAGGGTTCCGGGCCTGCTTTGCTAATTCCACTAGACTGGTAGATGGCGTCGGGGCGAACCTTAGTCTAGCTATAACTTGGCACAGATGATCGAATGAGATGCTAACAACTTTCAGCACTAGCATATCCGCTAGCAGTTCATATGACCAGCACGCTCCAGCAAGCGGGAGAGCCTTACGGCCCCGGTCTCCCAAGACAATTTGAATCATTTGTTGCACTTGTTCCATTATGGAGAACTGCAGGGGTTACACGTGATACTTGCTCCTGCGCAGGGGCTGATTTTGGCTGCCTAGCTGAACTGCATTTTGTCTCAGCCAGGCTCGGATCAGGCTGGCTGCCAGCACTGGAGAAAGCCCTTGATAAATCAGGCTCTCTGCTAATCTCTTTCTCCTTCAATATTTCAATAGAGTTTTAGTCACTGTACTCACTGTATTTGTATCTTGGGGGCTCAATGTCCCTTTTCACAATCGTTCCGAGTGCCTAGAGGAGCAACGTCAACTGCCTGCATCCAAGTTGAGGGATCTCGCCAAGATGTCGTCATCTGACTCATCCGGCAGCGACAGTGACAATAATGACAACCAAGTTGAGTTGATCGTAGCGGTTGTGGCATTGGTCATTTCAGTTCTCGCCTTCATCATTGCGATTTTCCAGGCCCTCCAGCAATACTACGCGTCGGCAACGGGCTACTCATCATGCACTCCAAAAGTCATGGGAGATTGGGCGAGGTTCACACGACGACGATTCAAATGGTACGAGTTCCGCTTTGAGGTGGAATTTGAAGTTCCCGTCATATTCGTTGCGCCGCCGACGAACCCGCGGGGACCCCTCGGCGTGCACGACGACAAGGAGATTACCTACATGACCGGAACGACAGATAGTTACAAGAAGACGTATACCTGGGACCAGGAAGAGTACGACAAGCACTCCAAAACTTTGAGGGCTGGCATGACGCGCCAAGCTATCCACACCGCCGACAACGAGCTCGCAAACTGGACGAGTCTGCTCATGGCTATTCAGCGTATGGAGAGGGAGTCTCGAACGTGGCAAGACAAGGAGTATTTCGGATACAACCCTCAATGGGAAGCCCAGACACCGTGTCACCCGACCCAGGCCAGCACCACGGTACCCTACACTCTTACCGTTGGCATGCAGAGGAAGAAGAAGTCTTGGGATAGTATGCCAGACAACATGAAGAAACCTTACGCAACGACAACGATCTCACATCTGGTGGAAATGGCGGCAATGTTAGGCGTTCATTGGAAAGAGTTTAACCGAAACGAAGACCGTTACCGAGGGCAGGGCAATGGGTTCAGCATCACCGGCTACGACGTCGACGATCTCGGTGTTGTGTTTACATTCGAGAAGACTGGTCCGACTTGGTTTCACGAGAACAGGGTAGTGCCGAACAATAAGGTCAAGGAGCTCTGCTTTGGTTATTGTCCGACGATTTTCCGCCAGCAGAACAACGACAACTACAAGTACGCTGACGAACCAAAGGATATCGGAACGCTACAGCTTGGCAGCATGTCGGCCATTGCAGAGACTCTAGTGGTGATCGGTTGTAACACTAACACTGTCCGGCATTTCCGAAAGTCTACTCCAGATACAAGACACATCCATCTCTTCCCAAGTAAGTCTTGCCAAGAATCATTATATTCACGAGATTCGAATACTGACTGTTATGTTTTAGTTGCTTTTGAGATCCTAGGCATGGTGGGTGCCGTCCTACAGATCCCCGGCACGGCTTTCCGCATGCTTCCCAACCCAACCATTTGGCATTGGGACCGGAAGTCATTTTCACTGAAGACTTTCCTCAGCGACTACGTCCACATAGTGGGTGAGTCGGCAGCAACAGAACCAATGCTCAGAAGTACAGAAGGATCTCGAATCAGCGTGATTCTCAAAGAAGCCGGCAAAATCGAAGACAAGTTCGAAGAGCTCGAATCTCGTGACGGCCCGGAAGCGATTCTGAGACGAACAAACAACACCGAGGAAAGAATCTACTCCAATGACCTCGTCATGGCTTTGCATTCGGCCATTTCGAAATGCGACGAATTCCTTCAGAATCAAGAGAGGATAAACCTTGTCCAAAACGTGCTCCGCGTGCACCTGCAAGAAATCTTGCGTATTTTGAACGACAAAGAAGGGGAATACAAGACGGTTGTGGTCACTACAGGAGATCATGCTCGGTCAAAGAGGGACTCAAGACACGACCTTGTTGTTCCAGGAGCATCCCCTATCTTGAGGACGCGAGAGGAGAACGAGGAAATCGAGAAGGAGATATCGCTCCTTCAGAAGCTGGATTCCGCGTCTTCGAGCGAGAGGCATGGTGTTCTAGCCGAAATTTACCTTCTCTCGGTGCGCAAGCGGGTCATTGATGTTGTTTGCAAACAGCTGCGGGTTGATAAAGCTCGTAAAGAGCGTGGAGCTAGATCGATCATCTCTGATGCTTCCACAGAGGTGATCGCCCACGACCAGCAACAGCAGATCAATGATGTGTGGTGCATGCTTGTCTTCCGCATGGTATGCTGGTTGCTTCTGCATGATTTCCATGGCAAGGATATCCAAGTTGAGAAGAGTGAGATATTTGGAAGCCGTCTGCCGGTTTACATCACATAGGGTTGGGATGTGGTCATGAAGTATAACACGAATTACGATGGAATGGAAAAATGTGTCAATAATGAAACTGTACATTTCTTGACTGATCCTGTTCACTACACTTCATGGCTCCTTCTGGGTTTGTCATCACTGATGTCCCATGTAATTTTCATCTACTTTCAGGACTGGCTACCTATTAATATGGCTTCACTTGCCCAAAAGGACATACACGCGACCCTAGAAATTACACAAGCGTTAATTATCAAATATCTAAGCCCCATTCGTGCCATTCGTGCCATTGGTGCCGTTCTCACGCTTCTTCAACTCCTCGCGGACCGCAGGCAGAATATAGCGACCATAGTCAATAGCATCGTTGAGGTTGTCATATCCACGGATAGAAATCAACTCAGCGCCAAGATCGACATAGTCCAAAATGGAGTCGTTGATGGTCTTGGGAGATCCTACCAGTGCCGTAGAGGCTCCGCGAGCGTTAGTCGCAGTGACGGTGGGGTACCACAACGCCCGGTCCTGAACCTCGCCCTTCTTAGCGATGTCAAGCAGACGCTGCGAGCCGACATTCTGAGGCTCGGGTCCGTTCTGACCAGGCTTGCCCTGTCCGGCAGAAACGTTTCCCTTGAGCGCATCGAGCGTGCGGTGTGCCTTGGCCCATGCAAGCTCCTCCGTCTCGGCGACGATGGGACGGAAGGTAACCCAGATGCGGGGCCGGTCCTTGCGGCCGGCCTTCTCGGCCTCGGCGTAGATGCGGTCAATCTGTTCCTTTGTCTCCTTCAACGGCTCACCCCACAGTCCGAAAATGTCGGCGAGGGAACCACCAATACGATAGGCCTCAGGGGATGAACCGCCAACGGAAACAGGAATTGTGCCCTTTGTCGGGCGGACGCTGCTGTGAAAGTCTTTGAAGGTGTAGTACTTGCTCTCCCAGCTGAAGGGCTCCGGTGATTCCCACGCTCGGCGGAGAATCTTGATGTAGTCCTCAAGGCGGCCATACCGCTCGTCCTTGGAAAGGAAATCACCCTCCTTGGCTTGCTCTGCATCGCTTCCACCGGCAATGAAGTGCACGACGACACGGCCCTTGCTGAGTTGGTCGAGTGTTGCCAGGGCCTTCGCGGCAACGGTGGGGTAGAGGGTGTTTGGCCGCAAGGCGATGATGACGCTGACGTTCTTGGTGACCGCTGCGATGGTCGCACCAATTGTGAAGGGATCAAATGAGTTTGAGCCGTAAGGAACGAGTGTGTAGTTGAAGCCGTAGTCGTCCAAGTTCTTAGCGTAGCGGACTAGGAACTCGGGATCAACGCCAGCACCAGGGATCGGGTTGATCTCCGTTGAGGCGTTGGGGAAAGTTACGCTGATGAACTCGGTCGGCATTTTGCTAAGTGTTTTCTTGGGTTTGGGTATCAATACTGCAGAATAGTCTTCTTCCTGAAATTGCTATTCGTGAATTATGTGGTCGCCTATATACATCCGTTGCACGATATGACGACAACTGCAAGATAATCACGCCTTACACCCCGAGCCGAAATCGGCAAGGGGTTCCCCAGTGAGATGTCACCATAACCCCATCTAAATCCAGCACACTTGATCAATGTGGCAATGAACATCTGGCGCCTTTATCGTTAGCTGTTTTGGAGAGCCTCAAGAAAAAGTCGCCAATTCTTCAACGTTGCTTGTTGTCGGGCGGGATGCGATCGGTGCTCGGCTACTTGGCGGTGCGGCCCCAGACCGGGCCCGTTCCGTCAAGATATGCCAACCGGACCACATCAAGGCCAGAGACCATGATTAACTATTCATCAGTAACTCTCAGCCTCTGAAACTGCCGAAAACACCTATCAGCACCGAGTTACCCCGCTCCATGTCAACACGCAATTCTCAGGATCAGTTCCACACATCCACAACTTGGGGCCAACGTCGGACATGCCCGCACACTTGAAGCCCCGAACGCTCGACATTGGCTGATTAAGGAGGCGCAGTGCCTCCGACGCGGATTCTGTCGTGCCATTTAATTACAAATCAACGATTGTGCAACAGACAAATTACTATGATGATTTGTCAACAGATATGGAAACATGCTCCGGGCGCACCACCACAAGTTGCAACCCCTCTTTCGGTCAGAGCCAAGGTTGCTCCAAGGGCGGTCTTCAGTGACGGATCGAATCAAAAACGATTTAACATGTTGAGTTCGGGACCATTCATCTTTGTGAAATAGTATCTATATAGCGTTGAAGTTGTGCTTTGCAACCGTTCTATGATGAATACGATTCAATTGCAATATATACGATGAGCAAGATAGAGTTTTCAAACTTCGACGTTCCCCATAAATCGCCCAATCACTACGAATAAAAACACCACGATAATTGCCCAAAAATTTTGAATCCTCACTAAATGGAATGGAATCCATTCCTATTTGCACAAACCGATTCACCTGAGTTCGGAAGGAAGCCAAAGCAATGAGTGCACTCCACAGATGAAAGCAACGTCTTGATTTTGGAGGTTTATTTATAATACAGCTGCACGAAGTACCATGTTGTAAAAGAAGATTCACTCTAATACTCTATAATCAAGTCGAAAAGTGAATAAAAAAGTGAATTGTTAGGGACTAGTAATTATGCGTGTTTGAGTCCTTCGAGAAAGACGCTGAAATTCCGGGGGCCCTCATTACCCTTTTATCTTGAGTGATTGAAGCCGAGAAAGCTGAGAGTCGGGTTTTTAGGAAGACTTCTTCTTCCAAAGTCGAGCAAGGGAGTGCTTCTTCGGCACCCGAGCTAGCCAATATAGGAATAAAGCTGCAAACAAGTTGAAGATTATGTAGACCCACATCAGCCCGTACGACCGCCATCGTCTACCGTATGACGTAGATATGGTAGTCAAGAAAGCATCTGTCGTAGCCAGAGGGCAGAATTGACAGATGTCGGTGCTGTTAGGGTTGAATACACTGCCGCCGGCCATTTGCATGTACGGGGCCATGTAATCACCGCATGCGGTTCCATTCGCGGGACTGAACTGCAGCAGCTCGAGTTGAGAGCAGTTGACCTTATTGTGGGCCAATCCCGTTGACAAGAGACCTTCGACCAGGTAAGTCAAGGGTGAGACGCGGTACATGAACTTCCAGAAACCTGGCAGGGCATTGACCGGCACAATGACACTGTTGATTCGTGAGTTTGAAGACTTCAGGTTGATTAAATCGGTGTTGAACTTACCCGCAAAAGATCAGACACAAAGCAAAAAGTAGAAGAGAAAGAGTCGCTCCGATCTCTGCTGTGGGTACACCAGCGACAACCATATCGGCAAATGTTGACTCGAAGAGCATGAAGGCCCAGATCAGTAGGAACATGAGACCGCCACGTTCCGTAACCGCATCCGTCGGTATGGCATTGCGATACATGCCGACCAGATAATAGAACGGGAAGAAAATCACGATAGCAGCCAAGGTGTTCCAGGGAAGCTCGACAATGATGTTGACCAAGACGAACACATACCATGAATACGCTCTGGAGGCGCGTTCTCTCGCCTCGTATTGCTCGCGTTGCAGGATGAAGTTGGGCATAGTCTGATAGACGAGGAAGGCAAAGACCACCAACAACATGAAGATGGAAAACATCTGACTCTGGAGTCCTTGCATCGTGAGCGGTGAGTTGTAGAAGGACACCCCGATGAATAAGCTCTGTGCAAAGTGTAAGTTGAAGGTCCATTAGGTCGTTGACCAGTAAGCATTGAGACGTACCGTGCCACCAGACAAAATCAACTTGGAGTAAATGTACGAAGGCGTGCGCCAATACTGTTGAAAGACACGCTCAGTGCATAAGGCAAGCTGAACATGAAACGGCGCAGCATAAGTAGACATCTCATCGGGACTGGACGTCGAGCCATTCGCCGCCACGCCCTGCTTCAGACGCTCGAGCTCGCGGCGCATCTCGGCACACTCATGGCTCTCCTTCCAGGTCTCGGGCCAATCCCTCTCAGCCTTGGCGCCCGGAGCTGCGCCGATGACTTTGAGCATCCACTCGGCGGGGTTCTCGTCCTGTCCGCAGGGCGTTGCTCCGTACTGCTCAAAGTAGCTCGTGAGCACGCGGGAGTTCTCGCCAATGTCGCCAAAGTAGACTGTTTTGCCGCCATGTGCAAGGAGAAGAAGACGGTCGAATTGCTGGAATAGGAGAGCAGAAGGCTGGTGGATTGTCACCAGGATGGCTTGGCCTTTTTCAGAGAGCTTTCGGATCAGTGATGAGATTGACCATGCTGTCTGACTGTCGAGGCCCGAGGTCGGTTCGTCAAGGAAGAGAAGGAGATCAGGTTTCGCAGCGAGCTCGACGCCAATAGTCAGTCGTTTTCTCTGCTCAACGTTTAGGCCTGTGGTAGTACGGATTAGCTTAACAGTCCTTAAAAATGAGGTGCAAAGACCAGTTGAGGACTTACCTTCTCCGGGCACTCCGACAATGGCATCGGCATAGGCCTCCATCTCCAGAAGCCCAATCACCTCTTCAACATAGTCGTACTTCTCTTGCTTGCTGACAGCCGCTGGCTGGCGTAGCATGGCGCTGAATCGCAAGGCTTCCCTAACAGTGGATGTCTCGAGGTGGATATCCTGTTGCTGAACGTACCCGGCCTTTCGCTGGAAGGACTGGTCTCTGAGAACACCGTTGACGAGGATATCTCCTGTCACAACACCCATGGTCACCCTGTTAGCCAGGACATCAAGTAGAGTAGTTTTGCCAGCGCCAGTAGAGCCCTGAATCGATCGTCAGCAGAAATCCTTCTCTTGAATGGAGGTAGACTCACCATCAAAGCAGTCAGAGTTCCCGGCTTTACCCATCCGCTAGCTTTGTCAAGAATTCTGCGGTTGTTACCCTTGATTGATATGTCGTAGCAAACATCTTTCCAGTGGAATACCGATTGGCTTTTACGAATTGCGGATTGTTTGACACCCGACTGAGGAGCATGTCCCTCGGACTTCTCATGTTGGTAAACGCGTTCAGGTTGGCCAGTCTCTTCGTCGGATGAGTTCTTTGATAGCGTCGGGACCGAGTGACCACGCCGGAAGATCAACACCTCGCCCTTGGAGCGGTCTGTGGTGATGTACTCCGCCGCGAGCAAGTAAACGCACATGAAGAAGACGATGAAGGCAATCAAAATGCCGAAGTTCCTGAGTGACACGTTAAACTCATTTGCGAAGAAACATCCAAAAAAAAACAGAACATACCTCCAAATGTGAGACTTGTAATAGCTGAAAGTGGCATTGATGTAGAAGTCACCGTCAACGAAGTCTGCGCCTGGTGCAGCGCCAGCGACCGAGCACGTCCTCTCGTTTGGCGCAGCGTTCGGGTAGGCCGGAACAAATGAGGGACAGGGGAACTGCCGACCATTGAACTCATTGGCGACCAGACTCTCGAAAGCGTAGGCTATGGGGTTGATGTAGTTGATCCAGCGGAGCCATCCCTTCATATCGCGGGTCGGGAGGATGAAGCCGGTGTAGATGACGAGCGATAAGATGAAGATAGCGGCTGGCGTCAAGGCTTGGTGAATGGTACGGGACGTCTGGCCGATGGTTCTGATGATCATGGACATTGAAAGTGTAGTGGTAAAGCCGAAGAGGAGGAAGATAAAAAAGGCATCGGCCTCTTGGCGGAGCTTTGCCATGAAGTAGAGAGGAATATTGAAGGCCAAGGTAGATAGAATCTTACTGGGAAGATCGCAGATCGTGGAGGAGATTGCTTCGGAGGCGGGATGATACAGAGCATAGCGAGCGTGCTTTTCGACAATAGGTCTCTGGACGTACAGTGTGAGAATCTGATCATCGCCATATTAGTAAATCTTTCTCATCGTAGGGCTACTTGGAGGAGAATTCGAAACATACCTCAAGAGCACTGCTGAGACCGTTGAACAAAATCGCAAAGAACAACAGAATGCAACGAGAATTCATACTTGATGCATCGGAGGGCAGGTCGAAGAAGATGCTTCCAAGAACCAAAGAGATGACCAAGTTACCACCAACAGTGACAACGAAGAACAGCCAGTCACCCAAGAGACGCTGGTAACCACGCGTCATGCACAACCAGATTTGCATGGGCATGGAAATGGTGTAAGGTGATTGCGGGGTCCTTCTCGACTGTTAGCAGGTGATTATACCACGACCTCCTGCCTGTATCACCACTTACACGAGAGATGCTTTGTGAGCTTGGCGCGTCGCGACAAACTTTTCTTCCCCTGAGCCATCAAGAGGATGTTCCTCCTCAAAGGCAAATATCTCCTCCATAAGACTTGCCCTGACATCGCTTCCCTTCCATACTGTTGCAAACTCGTCTGGCGTTCTGGGCACTCTGTTCTCAAATCCTTCTCGCACCACTCGTTCTGCGGGGTTCGTGAGGGAAGTGAGG